CCTTACCCATTTTACACCAGTGACGCAGATCACGGCCTTTCGGTGTGGTGAAACCATACATACACAGAAGCCTTCAAACATAAAAAATCCGTTACCATACACATTTGAACATAAGACCGTTGGGTTGAAAGGCATTTGTCAGGCCACCATGATAATGCCACTCCAACCGTTATAGCTTTATCATAATATATGATGATAATTATGTGCAAAACTCTGTTGTCAATAACCCAAACGGTTGCCATTGAAATCAGAAGCCAGTTTTGACACTGTCAGAACGGAACGTTGTCAAGGACAGCATGGATGCACCTGTAATAACCAGCCAATGGAACTATAAGCATCTACATTTTTGGGAATCTGCTGATGAGGGATTGTGGTCAGGATTTACCACATCACCTATCCAGTGCCGACTGGTCTATAATTTAGGTCTAGCCCTATATTTCCGAAGTGCCTCAAGGCTTGGAAAGGGGTCGTATACTTTTTGCTATTCTCATAAGGTTATCGTAAATAGTGACTATTGTTTGTAATGTTTTTGTTGAGCTTGTCATCATAGGCTATCAAGATTACACATTTTTAAGCACCTTGTAGAGTTGTATTCCTGAGAATTCCATGAATGTTTTGACTGATTTAGTATTATAATATTTTGAATTATGTGTGAGGTGATATCCAATGAGAATTTAGCTTGTATGTAGATTAATATTTTGAAACATCACTTGACAGTTCTGGGAGGTGATTTCAGATGAACATGGAATCTATCTATGTGGCACCTACCATGGCGACAGTGACCTTCATTTGGAGAGGGTCAACGTCTACTACAATGAAGCCGCTGGAAGGAAGTATGTTCCCCGAGCTGTCCTTGTAGACCTGGAGCCAGGAACAATGGTCAGTGTCCAATCAGGTCCATTTGGGTAGCTTTTTTCGTCTTGATAATTTTGTGTTTGGGCAGTTAGGAGACGCTGTGTTGGATGTTGTCAGGAAGGAGGCTGAAAGCTGTAACTGTCTCCAGGGTGAATAGATAACCACAAGTAACTGTCTCCAGGGTGAGTAGATAACCACAAGTGGTGCTTACCTTCTTGTTGATATAGTTTGCTTTATGGTCGTAGACCATGTCGTGTGGGGTTCGTATATTATGATTTCTTTTTAGTGTCCCGCTCTTTTCAGTGAAGTCTGCGACCAGGTCACATGGCGTTGCATATTGTACCTTTTTGCTAGTCCTTTGTTTTCAGTGTAGTAAAGCAGTGCTTCCCATAGAACAAATGTAACCTTTAACCTGTCACTTCAAGAAAGCCAGTTTTTCCACTTTTACAGGTTTTTAATGACATGTCATCTTTAGGCTGCGGCCAGTATGCTTATATAACAGTCTTGATAATGGTTTAGAGCCACTATATTACGTCTGGGTTCATCTGGGTAAAGATTCAAAATCACAGCATTCAGGCCAAGCCCATATTAGCTCTGTCTCATTTCTTAACAAAGAGCTAAGAGTTTCTATGCTGACGGTAATCGTTGTCATCTAGTAACAACTCGTCTTTCCCGTTCACTTCTTCCTCTGGCTACTGACCTGATCAGTGTATATAATCACATCTCTGGGTAGATAAGATTGATGGTGGATAAGATTGATGAATGATGGATGAAGCATCACAGGATCATTGATAAACCCAAACAAAGCCTGAACATTATGGTGTTCATTGGACAGCTCTATTAGCTGTTCCACCTTTGCTTCTGCGCATTCCACAGCCCATTTTCTGCACTCTCATCCCAAGGTAATTACCAATTTGTGCAGCTCTTCTCTGCCCTCTGTTACCTTTATCCATTCTTCTCCTCAACCAATTTCTTGAATTTGAAGAGCCTGTTGATTATCTTTTCAGCCTGGACCATCCAGGATCTGCCTATCTTTAGTCTGAACCCCATCAAAGTGTCCCCTTCCCTATGTATGATATTTTAGTGTGTTTTCTCTTTTAACCATTTTTCCATTTATCATGATCTTGGGGACATCTGCTTCAACAATTCCAACACACATCAGAAAATCTAATACAAGATGAAGAGGGCATCAAAGAAATGATTGATGACACTGAAGACAAGAAACATTCCACAAACAATAAGAATAGCCACTGCCAGCCACCAAGCAATGAACCACAGACTATAACCCCCTCACCTCCCACAACCCTCTCATGTTTGGTAACAAACAAATCTACAGAAGAACGACTACTAATTGAGATAATAATTTGCAAAAACTTTGTGCAACCCAATCACTCTTAGGGCTTTAGGGAGGCAAAACCTTTATTAATATATGAAGATGAATTACAGAAAAGGAAAATCACACTTGCAGACAAGAGCATGACAACATAAATTACAGAAATGTACAGACCAGAGTTGTCAGACACCGTGGGACACTGTAAACTCAGAGCATACCTTTAACACAATTGCACATCAAGTCACACTTTGCTGACTCTGCACATGCAAATGTAGAATGGCTAAACAAACTTCACAGCACGTTTTACATGATTGCCTAGCTTTTTGCCTGTAGAAGAGAGAACATTAGATAGACAAGAGTGACCCTTCAAGAAAATGTGTGGCTTACTAATGACTGGTGATCAAGCACACCATCCTCTTTGTGACCCATGCTAGAAAAGACACATAGCAAATACTGGTGCTAAAAAAACAACACGTTTTTTATGACAACAATTGTTTAGAAAATTTAAATAAAACAAATCCATGCTCAGTAAACAACTGTGTTAACATGAAGCATACATGTGTTAGCAAGGGCAATCTCGGCATTCTATTCTGGAACTGCAGGAGCGTTCAACAGAGAGGCCCAGTCTTGAAGAAACTGATATATGATACTGATGTAATCCCACTTCGGGAGACCCGGCTGAATACAGATTAAGCTCTGAATGTCTCAGGCTTCCAAACATACTACAACAGCAAACATCTAGGACAAGCAATCCTAGTCAGGTACGAAATAACATCCTCAGTTGTAGACACAAGTGCATGGAAGAACAGCGAAATGCAGATGCAGATGCAGACTGTGAAGGTAGATGGAAGTAAACCTTTTATGCTAAATAATATCTATGCCTGTAATGATACAGTTGACAAAGAGAAGATACCTTTCAGCAACCCCGGTGGTGGACATCGGAAGTCGCAGAAGCCTGGACAGAGAAATGAGGTGCCACCAAAGACTGGGAGAAATGCAGAAGGTCTTTGAATTTTTCTCATGCTCAGAAAAACGACATTAAACACAAAGAAGACTGACTCACTGAACATTTTAAACAGCTCGCAAAGGAGTCTTAGCACACAGTGTGGGAACATTTTTGCCAAGAAATAGGTTACGAAAAATCTCTCTACAGGTTCTTCCCCCATTATCTGAATGTTTACCCTAAACCTCTAGTGTACTTTGATTTTACCGGCCCATGTCAAGAAATCCATGCTTTAACCAATTTTTCCCCAGCAGACACTGTCCATGTCTACACTGTCCAGCAGGATTTATGTAACTAATGTATCCAGGATACTCATATCTATCTGCGAGGAATCAAGAGCCCAAGTTAACCCGTCCAAAGCCTCCTTAACATTGTTCTCTCTGAATACCCACAATGTCAGTACACCAAAGCCAGTCGTAAGCATGTGTGGTGTGGACATCGAGAGAATGGACACCATGAAATACCTTGGCACGACATTTGACAGATGCTTGTCATACAAATGCCACGTAGACAATATCATACTTAGATATAGGAAAGGTCTGACAGCACTCAAGGTGCTAGTAGCAGCTGATATTGAACAATGACTACTTTTCCTCCTCTATCAAGGGTTTGTATTAGGCATCATTGACTATGGTCTTGGCTCCCTCACTGTCAGCAAAACCCAGCTAGAAGGACTGGACTTAGTACAAAATGAGGCCATGAGACTCATACTCAGCTGCACAAAAGACACCTTCCTGTTTTTGTCGACGATGAATAGCAGATACAAAGTCGCACAGGTCAAGGCATACATGAGGGTATTGTCAGACGTTAACCACCCACTGCAGAAAGCTATAGATGACACGAAAGGAACACGTCTCAAGAGAGCATGCTCCTGGATGGCAAAGGCTGAGGATTTAATTCAGCAGGTAAATGACCTAGACGTGATCAGTCACGGAAAAGAATGGACGAATACACCAGTAGATATGCATGGCATCTCTAAGGTTGTCATCACACTCAGAAGGTATTGCAGGGATTAAATTCCTGCCACCGTAGACACAGTGGTAAGGAAACTGATAGATCATCATTCAGACCCAGAAGATATCATCATCTACACAGATGGATCCGTGAAGTGCGTATCAAGGTCAGCATGGGCATACACAGCCCAAAGAATGGGGAAAACAGTACAGGAGGACAGCAGCGCCTACCAGACAACCACATCAAGCATGACCATAGAAATAGCCACTGCTTCTAGAGGATTAGCATGGGTATCTGAGCAAACCGCCACAAAGGCAGTAATTGTATCAGACTCCATGAATACGCTTAAGAAGATAGCAATAGGCGGTATGCGCTCTGAATGGGTAATAAGCTTTCAAAAATCGCACTTAACCTCCCTCACCTGGATCTACACACCTGGTCATGGAGGCATAAAGGGAAATAAGCGAGCAGACCAACTAGCAAGCATTGCACTAAGTCATGTGGGGAGAAGCATGTACATAGCAGATATTGTCAAAGCTGTATGAACTGGGCTAGGGAATAATGAGGAATCCCTGACACTAACACGATTGCGTGACAATTGAGTAAAGCATTGTGAAGCATGTCTATGCCGTCTTAGGAGACAGTATAACCAGCTTCTCATGGGAACAGTTAGAAGTACTTCGGAGTGGCTTCTGCATCGGAGGACTGAGCACACATGGGAATGCCTAATGTGCAGTGACATTGATTGTGATAACAAAACATTCTGACAGTGGAAAGCTTCAATAATAAGTTTACCATTGTTTGACTTTCAGGGTTCCAGCGAACCATTCCCTGGGTGGAGGCACTGAATCTGGTATGGGAACTCTTCTCATCAGTAAGATCTGTGAGGAATATCCGGACAGGATCATGATGACATTCTCTGTGGTATCTTCACCAAAAGTATGTCCTGTTCTTTAACTCAATGATTTTCTTTCCATCCCAGCAATGATGCACCACAGGACTAAAAATTAGACTAAAACTAATTTTATTGTGTCTGCCATTGCTGGTGTCTGGAAGATTTTCTAGACTGAAAAATCAATATTGTGTGTTCACTAAGTTGCAACACACTGTACAGGCAGTCTAAGATTTCTAATTAACTTCTCATAGTCAAATATTTCCTTGTCCCAACAAATAATAATGCCTATGTTGCTCTGTGTATAAGGCAGAATTCCTCAACTTCTCAGCTTCATGTTGTTAGTTTCCCTTCTTTTTCTTCTGCTTTTTGTCTTCCTATTAAGCATTGATTTTCAAACATCTCATGTCATATCATCTAGTTATTCGCACTTTCCCTCTATTGTCGATTTGTTGTCAGTATCGTTGTCTCTGAACCTTTTATACGTTTTTTTTTCTCTAGGTTTCCCTCAATTTCCTTTGCTTTTTGGGTTCTAGAAAAAGGATACTGTAGTCATACTAACAATATATTTTCTCGTTGTAGGATTTATCCAATTCCAACATCTTTTCCTCACCTCTTGATTTCCTGGAATTAATCTAGTTTTTCCAATAGCCATGAAAGAAAACATAATAAGAAAGAGATCTGGTGGCAAGAAACTCCCAGGCCAGGCAGATCAAATAACACTGGGGAAGTGTGTGATACCAGGACCAGTACTAGTAATCAGGATGACGGAGTTAATTCTGACTGTGTTACCAAATTAATCCCCTGTGTCAGACTTAAAAGGAGAATAAGAATAGGAAAGTGGAATGTAAGAAGTTTGTATAAGGATTAGATTGGGAGGTTGTATGAGGGAAAGCTTAATGTAGTATGTGATGAGATTGAGATGTTATAGATTCAAATGTAAGGAATTAATGAACATCGCTGGAGAGCCAACGGACATTTTACAACTAAAAATGGATGTCTGTTCATATATTCTGGTAGAGATGCCAGAGTGGAGTGGCATTTTTTTTAGATAAAACAACTGCAAGAATTTTAATAGGATATAATCCAGTTAGTGAGTGACAAAATCCTTACTATCAGACTCAAAGACTGTCCAAAATACGTAACTCTCATACAGATAAATGCACCTAGTTCAACAGCAAAGGGGGTTAAAATTAAAGATTTTTACAGTACACAGCAAGTCACATTAAATAAGATTGGTCATATTGATATAACAATAATAATGGAAGATTGTAATGCTAAAGTAGGTATAAGATGAGCAGAAAAGAGAGACATGTTTTAAGTAAATTAGGATTGAGAAATAGAAATGATACAGGTGACAGATTAATTGGAAAATGGGTTAACATTAGCCAACACATTTTTAAAACAACACCCAGGAAGACTCTTCACATAAAACTCTCTGGACAGTATTACCAAAAATCAGATAGATCAGTAATTTCCAAATTGTGTGCCTTAGTCCCCAGGGGCACCACAAAATATTTGAAGATACATGAGTTTCATTATTTTTTTTATCTCTAACATACGAATAGTCATACTTTTACTTAGGTTAGGGCACCATGGAAAATGTTGTTATTCAAAAAAGGTGCGGCGATTAAGAAAAGTTTGGGAAATACTGAGATATATTATATTTTAATACAAAGAAGATGGGTATCAAGCAAAACATCTGCAAAACCCTATGAAGTGCAGACTGTGATACAGATCATCAGTTGTTGAAAGCAGATTTGAAATTAAAACTCAAAAAGTTTACCCGAGGACCAAGGCCACTTCATTTTGATCTCACATAAATACCAGCTGCATACAGCATAGAAGTGAGCAATCATTGTGGAGTCTTGATGTCTGTAAAGTAAAGTAAGTAAAGGTCCCTTTTCCACGCCTTTAGGTGTATAGGGTATATAGGCTAGAGCCTATATATTTAAAGACCAATTGGCACAAGATGGGTGATGTGGTCAGCATCATGCTGGCCGCCTTTACCTTCAAGGACTGCACCCGGTAGCCAATGAAGGCTGGGTCAACCAGGTAGTCAAGGTAATTGACTGATGAACTGGCAGTGCAAGCTAGAGATATCTTGATAACAGCAGCCAAAGATTAAATATCAACCAGGACTGAGCAACATTAGCCATGGATTTCATCAGACACGTTAGAATTAATAAAACAATAAAGGTAACTGAAAAGAGAAGTAGATTAATATGATATGAGCAAGGTGAAGTGAAAATCTTTAACCTGAGAAATAAGAAAGAACACAAGAAAAGACATAAACCAATATACACATGATTGTTGTATTAAAACAGTGCAGTATCAAAAGAATGGAAGATTCCAAAATGTTCAAAAAAATGAAGTTATTGATGTTCAACCTCGATTAAATGTTATCTGTGACAAGTTGAGAAATACCTTGACAGAATCTAGACCATTCTAGAAAGATGGCAGGAAAACTGCAGTGGAATGTATGATATAAATGACTATGAGAATATGAATGATATACATGAACCAGTGACAGCAGAGACAGAAAATGAACACCTACTAGATGAAACTGCATGGGCAATAAAGAACCTGAAGAATGGTAAATCATCAGGATGTGATGTGGTACCAGCTGAACTAATTGAAGCAGGAGGGGAAGAAAGCGTACACATCTACCATGCATTATGTAAAAAGATATGGTATATGGCCAGATCATTGGAGGAGAACTATCTTCATTCCAATACCAAAAAAAGAGGCAACTTGAAATTGTGCGCCAACTGTTGCCCTGATCAGTTGTGCAAGTAAAATTCTACTAAAAATCACAACGGGAAGACTTTGTACGAAAATGATAGAAGAGATTAATGTGGTTCAAGCTGGATTTAGACAAGGAAGAAAAATAAGAGATCACATCCTCAACGTGCGTTTAATAATAGAGAAGTCCAGAGAATGTAATGTAAACCTATTCTAATGTTTTATGGATTATTCAAAGGCATTTGACTGTGTACAACATAGGAAACTTTGGGAAATCAGAAGGAATATGGGCTTTCCATCACATGTAGTACATACACCTCATAACAATGCTCTATCCAGACCAACAAGCAGTGGTTAGAATAGATGATGAAACATCAGACTGGTTTGATACTGAGCAAGGAGCCCATCAGGACTGTGTGCTGTAACTCTATTTATTTAACTTGTACACCAAAAATATAATGAGAAATTTTAGAGATGATACAACCAGAGAGCAATATGATGCCCAAAATATCGGTGGTCATGAAATACCAGAGATCCGATATGCCGATGATACAGTATAACCATTCACACCACAGACTTATAGAAAATTTAATAACCCGAACGCAAATAAATAGTGAAAATCACAACTATATCTTAATACAGCAAAAACAAAGATAATCATCATCATCATCATCATAAACCACTTCTGCCATTAAGCGTCGTGGGGAGGAATAATTTGCCTTCCAGTGCACTTTGGCTGCCACTGGCTATTGTCATGCCGTGAAGGCGTAGAGGGTCTTTAATGTTGTCGATCCTTGTTTTCCGTGGCTGTCCTCTTGCTCTTGTAGTTGGTCTACTGAGATGTAGTGCTTGTGATGGTATTTGATCTTGCTGCATTCTAACGAGATGGCCAAACCACTTGATCTGCTGTTTCTTGATGAATCTAGTACAAGGTGTCATTCACACAATTTGCCTGATACTTTCATTATTCAAACAAAGATAATGCATACAGATAAAACTACTTTAGAGAAATAAATATATGTTAAAGAGCAAAGATTGGAGGTTGTGGAACATTTTGAATATCTTGGGTCATTGAATACCAACAACCAGCGACACAGTAAAAGAAATTAAACAATGACTATCAGTTGCTCTTTAAAGACTAAAACAACTAAATAAATTATGGAGCGGGACAAACAGAGCTTTAAAAATTAGATTTCTAAGAGCATGCATCTTTTCCATTGAAACATACACCTGTGAGACCTGGACACTTACTAAAAAAGCCAAACTGCACATAAATGCCTGTGAATAGAAATTGTAACAGAGTGAGCTCATAGCTTGTTTGTTAGGAGGCACAAAGCTAGAATATTAGGAGATCAACAAGTTTTGGTAACCTTGACATTCCCTTTTCCAGAATCTTCCTTTCCCGCCAAAACAAGCTATTGACATCAAACTGAGGTTGTCTGGCCTTGGCCTTCTTTCTAGAAGTTTTGAAATGCTTTTTTCATCATGTGACCCAACCTTGTCTATCTAGTAAATACCTTGTTGACATGCCCTATCAAAGCAAAAGCAATTCTACTTGTTTTTTTTTTTTAAAACTTTTATGACCTCAATTGTCAGTTTAACTACTATATCTGCATAGAATAGGATGATGAAATCTGATGCAATCAAGATGTAATTAGCAAATCCCACGTGAGAACGTACATAGTAAACAAGTTTAGACGTACTAGAATATTCTAGAAGCAGACAATGCGAGAAAAAAACAAATACCTAGCATTCCAGCATACAAGTATAAATAGCGAGTAACAAAGCACTTTAGAAAAACTCAAGAGAGGAGAGACCAGTCATCGACTCTTAATGCAGCCTTCAGTGATAGAGATGTAAGCCCAACACTAGAAGCCTTCAGTCGTTGAGACTCAGAGGAAGAACGACTAGTCTCTATGATCCTTGATGCCAGCTCAACACTGGAAGCAGTGCAGCCGTTCATATTGAACCTCGAAGACAGTCACTGGAGAGCAGACATGAAGCGAGACATCAAGCTACAGAGACGACACACAATATACATGGATCCATGGAGAACAGAGACATATTAGGAACACTATAGAGATGTTAGAGTCAACGCTCAAGACATTAGTACCAAACAACACTAGAAGCCAGGTGGCAGTTAGAGACACTAGAACCAGTTAACAAAGTAATTAGAGATAAAGAACACAACGTGACCTCAAGAGTAAGAACACAACGCGAACCTACGAGTATTTAGCCATAGAGAGAACACAGCGTTACTCAGAATATCATTGATGTATTTGTGACATTGTTGAAGTATCACAATAAAGACAGTGTAGACGAGAACTGTTGTTTCCAGCCATCTTATTATACAAGCATCTGAGTCACGTGAGAAGCATGCAGCTAGCAAGACATCATCATCATTATCGCTACTATCGGCACGACCATCTTCCTCCTCGTCTATAATCTTCCAATCGACTCCTCCTGTAGCAAACCTAAAGACGAACCTGGGTGTGACATCAACGTACGCCACAAAGTAGAGAGAGCTGTGCAACAAAATGTTATAGACAGGTTCTAAGAATGACATGGGTAAAGACAAGAACAAATGCATCCATACTTTTTGAACTGAATACTGAAAAAGGTTGGCTATTAAAGACAATAAAGCACAGAAAACTGAAACATTTTGGTCACTGGAAACATCACACAAGTTTAGAGAGAACAATAATGGAGGGGTATATGCTTGGGAAGAGATAAAGAGGAAGACATAACAGCAGATGATTGTAGGATGTGGCTGATGATATCTAGATGGGTGTATCATATGCGGGACATCTTGCTTGTGATTGAGAAGTTTTCTGGAAAGTTGTTATGGGAGCAAGGTTCTGCAAAGGACAGGATACTGACTTTCCATGAGTTCAACATTTGTGATTCTATCTCACCATTATAGCCCTATCAGGCACAGAGACTAATCTTTGTACTCAGATTGTAATTGGTTTTCATCTGTAATCTTTATGCATACTCAGATAGTAATTGGTTTTCATTTGTAATCTTTATGCATAATCAGATAGTAATTGGTTTACATTTATAATCTTTATGCATACTCAGTAATTGGTTTTCATCTGTAATCTTTATGCATAATCAGATAGTAATTGGTTTTCATTTGTAATCTTTATGCATAATCAGATAGTAATTGGTATTCACCTGTAATCTTACATAAAAATACTCAGTTATCTATATTTGCTTTTGTTTACTTCCATTATTTCTCAAGGACTAAGACAGCTGCTCTGGACTTTTGTATATTTATTTGACTAGATCTTTCTTACTATATCCAGCTTTGATTATATCTCTTCCTATATACATATATATATATATATATATATATATATATATATATATATATATATATATATATATATATATATATATATATATATATATATATATATATATATATATATATATATATATATATATATATATACATACATATTAATGTTTTGAATTTTGAAAGAGATTGTTTCAGAGGAATATGGATTATCATTTGTAAAAAATTAATGTACAACATACACAAGTACAGTTGAAAATTGTTTGCAACAATTCTTCTATACTGACATCATACAGTTATTGTAGAGCTGTGTACCTTTATAAACAGAATTTCCACATCTGTATCTACAAGTGAAAGAAACTCTTGGGCGCCGAAGTGGTGTAGCAGCTAGATGCTCGCCTCTGGCCTGAAGGTCATAGGTTGTAATCTGCATTGTTTGTTTTTTTTTAATTTGAAATGGACGTTGGCTTCTTGTTGACTCCAACTAAAATATAAGAACACCATACAAAATCTAGGAAAGTAAAGGCGGCTGGCATGATGTTGACCACATCACTCACTGAGTACCCACACAAAGGTTACTGAAGACAGTCTTGTCTTAACAGTGTGTACATGTATGTAGTCACACACATGCTCATTCGTGTTGAAACATGTAAAATTGTTCCAGACACGGTGGTGGGAGTTCCCAGCCAACCCAGGCTTGAGTGGGTACTTGGTGCAGTTCCGGGAAGTAAAGGCGGTTGCCATGATGCTGACTACATCACCCATCTTGTGCCGATTGGTCTAAAAAAATAAAGGTCCAGCCCTATATGCCCTATACGCCTTTAAGCATGAAAAAGGGTCCTTGACCTTTTACCTTTACTTTTTTAACAGTAAAAGAAATTGAGGAAGTGAACGCTTTTTACAAGAATATTAAGAATAACATGAACATTGAAGATAAGAAATAATGAAGTAATAGGAGCTGCAGTGGCTACCTGATTTACTGTCACAACAAACATTGTTTTTTTTTGTTGTTGAGAATTTACAAAGCTGTAATGCTCTAATGGATGTGTGTGTGTATCCCTCTTGTGGTGAGATGCTTCAACAATGAACCTGGACACCCAATTCAATCGACCTGGAAATATGTGACAAGAAATGATCTAGGAAGTCAAGGTGACTGGATGAATTTTGCCACACAAAAGTGATGAAGGTATATAAACATATAAAGTCAGCAGTATCTACCCAATGGTAATAATTCATTACTTTCCTGCAATGAATCCTACTTCCTGAACAATGTCCACCTGTGTTGTGCATTTAAGAGACAAGAACCCCTAATATAGGTCATAAGGAAAGCTTTGATAAGAGCTGCCACTGATGGGATTGCATCAATGGCATTACAAATTATAGCACATTATAGATAGAGCAGAGAAACAGACTGCCCGCCATAAGTCCTGTATGACTGGCACAACATGATGCTGATGATAACGATGGTATCTGTCTGTGTGTCTGTGTGACGGTGTGTCAGTGTGATGGTGTGTCTGTGTGTCAGTGTTTCTGGGAGTCAGTGTGACGGTGAGTCTGTGTTTCTGTGAATCAGTGTGACAGAGTGTCTGTGTGACCATGTGTCTGTGTGATGGTTTGTCTGTGTGTCAGTGTGTCTGTGTGATGGTGTGTCAGTGTGACGGTGTGTCTGTGTGTCATGTTTCTGTGAGTCAGTGTGATGGTGTGTCTGTGTTTCTGTGAGTCAGTGTGACGGTGTGTCTGTGTGATGGTGTGGCGGTGTGTGTGTCAGTGTTTCTGTGAGTCAGTGTGACGGTGTGTCTGTGTGACAGTGTGACGGTGTGTCTGTGTGATGGTGTGTCTGTGTGATGGTGTGTCAGTGTGATGGTGTGTCTGTGTGATGGTGTGTCTGTGTGATGGTGTGTCAGTGTGACAGAGTGTCTGTGTGATGGTGTGTCTGTGTGATGGTGTGTCAGTGTGATGGTGTGTCTGTGTGATGGTGTGTCAGTGTGATGGTGTGTCTGTGTGATGGTGTGTCAGTGTGATGGTGTGTCTGTGTGATGGTGTGTCTATGTGATGGTGTGTCATTGTGATGGTGTGTCAGTGTGATGGTGTGTCTGTGTGATGGTGTGTCATTGTGACGGTGTGTCTGTGTGTCATGTTTCTCTGAGTCAGTGTGATGGTGTGTCTGTGTTTCTGTGAGTCAGTGTGACGGTGTGCCGGTGTGATGGTGTGGCGGTGTGTGTGTCAGTGTTTCTGTGAGTCAGTGTGACGGTGTGTCTGTGTGATGGTGTGTCTGTGTGATGGTGTGTCTGTGTTTCTGTGAGTCAGTGTGACTGTGTGTCAGTGTGTCTGTGTGTCTGTGTTTCTGTGAGTCAGTGTGATGGTGTGCCTGTGTGTCCGTGTGACGGTGTGTCTGTGTGTCAGTGTTTCTGTGAGTCAGTGTGATGGTGTGTCTGTGTGTCTGTTTGATGGTGTGTCTGTGTGTCAGTGTTTCTGTGAGTCAGTGTGATGGTGTGTCTGTGTGACAGTGTGTCTGTGTGATGGTGTGTCTGTGTGACGGTGTGTCTGTGTGATGGTGTGTCTATGTGACGGTGTGTCTGTGTGATGGTGTGTCTGTGTGGCGGTGTGTCTGTGAGTCAGTGTGATGGTGTGCCTGTGTGTCTGTGTGTCTGTGTGTCAGTGTGATGGTGTGTCTGTGTGTCTGTGTTTCTGTGAGTCAGTTTGACTGTGTGTCTGTGTGTCAGTGTGACTGATGCTACTAAATGAATGACACCTTAAAAACTGACTGTGACAAATATCATGAAAACAACAAGAGAAGTAACATGTTGCTAATGCTTTGCCAGGTCTCTAACACTGTGGTGGAGTCCTATAATGCCACATTGTCTGTGCACTAGCTGATGGAGAACACGGATGAGATATACTGCATTGACAATGAGGCCCTCTATGACATCAGGACCTTGAAACTGACCTCACCAACATATCGCAACCTCAGTCACCTGGTCAGTTCCACCATGTCGGGTGTCACAACATGTCTGAGATTCCCTGGCCAGTTGAATGCTGACTTGAGAAAGCTGGCGGTCAACATGGTGCCATTTCCACGGTTACATTTCTTTATGCCGGGGTTTGCTCCATTAACATCATGAGGCAGCCAGCAGTACAGGTAATGCATTTCTATACACTCCCGATTCTCATATCTTGTAAGATGATGAATGCAGAAGAAACAGAAGAAGAAGATATCTTGTAATATTATTACAAAATCAATACTACTCTTATTAAGCTGATTTAAATTCCTTTGTCACAATTACCAGTTTTTACATCAAAGCCATCACCACAAATTACTTCTGCCAACAGGAATGTTGTCAGGCTCAGAAATGCTCAAGTATTGTTTCATCTACCAACAAATGTTTGTCAGGATGTAGCGGTCTGTTGTGGAAATGTTATCAGTCAATGAACCAATCTCTAGCCATCTCCACAGTGAAACTCAAACACACATACTGCCTCTGTCTCATCCAGGTGGTTCACTCTTGGTTTCCTTTGAGACAAATTTAAACTGATGATGATGATGTATAGTGTGCATCTGAGCTGACATTTAGTATTTATCTTCTGCAGGTCTGAAAAAGAAGAAAATATTTTGTAAATCATAACACTTACTTCATTAAACTGAGGCTCTGGAGGTGTGAATGTACAAAGGAATACAATATGTGTTAGGGAAACTAAATCAATCAAATACCAAGGCATAGTAATGGATTTAAAAGCTGCAACTTTCACATAATTTCTGTGTGGCTGGCTGAGTGGTTAACACCAGGGAGTGGTTAACACCAGGCTCTCATTATAGAAGATCCAGTTTTTCCATGATTTTTGTTGTGGGCAAAAATAAAATTCCCATTTGCATGTCCTTGGTGACTGCACTACCCATGTGGCCATAAATCATCAAGTTCAAGGGCCCCCCCCCCCCCCTTTCCAATCCCTTCACTCCTACACTACACTAAAACGTAGTAATTAGATGGCAGTAAACACAGCCTCCAAAACTAATTCATGTCCCAAAATCTGGCTTAGTTTATAAAACATAAAGATTTCTGCCTCTTCCCTCATTTGACCAATACATATTACATTTAATATGCATCTTATGAAATGTTGACTATGCTTCATCTTCTGTAAGACATACTTATGAACAGGTTATGTAAAATATTTTTTTAAATACAGAAGATAGCTTCAGGAAATACAAAACAAAAGTTGTCATGGCACTGGACACGTTCAAAAGGATTTTTCTTTTAAAAGCTTAAGAGAGTAAAAGATGTCCAACAGCAGACACTTCTGATAGGGTGTTACATGTTTGGCTTTTACTTATTCTAAGCTATGACAAATTGTGAGAAGAATAAAAACAATATTCAACCAGAAATTAGAGAAGAACAATGTGGATTTGTAGACGAAAAGGGTACAAACAATATTATATACATCCTCAGGACTCTTTTGGAAAGAGCTATAGAAGTAAAAAAAAAAAAGCATCTTTACTTATGATTCACTGACTTTATGAAAGCATTTGATTGTGTAAAATTAAGAAATAATCAGACTTCTAGAAAAGTTTAATATTGATGGAAAAGACTTACATTTTAAAAAGAACATGTATTGGCAGTTGACAGCAGCTACAAAAATTAATAACCGTTTGGGAGCATTTCAGAGCATAAAGGAGGGAGTATGACAAGGATGTGTACTATCACCTGATTTTTTTTCATTATACAGTCAATATATCATGAGATGCATCATGGATATGCAAGGAATGGTGGTTGGTTTACATAATATAATCAACCTGTTTTTATGCTGCTGACACTGTCTTGATAGCAAAAAGTCAGAAAGAACGACAGGCATTGATAAATAAGGTGCTGGTAGAAATTGATAAAATAGGTATCATTTTGAATAATGGGAAGACAAAAAAGTTATGATTATTTCCAAGAAAAGAAAAGTGGGTCATATGTATAATAAACGCCAAAGGCATTAGGACAAGTTCAGACATATAGGTATCCAGGCACATAGATAACATTGGATGGAAGATATATTACAGAGATAAAGAATAGAACAGAACAAGCCAAAACTGATTTTCATAAAATGAAGAGCATTTTGTGCAATAAATCCGTCATTGGAGGTTAGGAAGGGAATTCTCACATGCTATATAGAGCAAGTTTTAAAATATGGCTGTGAAACCTGGTCAATTATTAAACAAGCCAAACAATATCATGAGGCCTCAGACATGTGGTTTTACAGAAGAATCCTTAGAATCCTTTGCATGGATAAGAAGAGCAACCCAGATGTTTCAAAAAAGGTGAGTGCTCAAAGACAACTTATCAAAAACATCAGAAAGGGACAGTTATCATTTCGTTGGTAATGTTATGAGAAGAGGGAATCTGGAACAGTTGTGACCACAGACAGAGGAAGATTCTTGACAGCCTTTTGTCATGGCATGGAAGGATATCAGCACACGAACTGATACACTCAGTTCCAGGTCACAGACTGTGGAGAGGCATGATCATCCATGCCAGACAGCAAGGAAGCCATGACAATTGGTGTGGGGTGGTCAGTGTTCTTCCTCGGTACCTCTCCTTTTCAGACAAAATGTAGAAAATTATGGGAATTATCTGGTATGCATTGTTTGGAAACAAATGTGGGAATTGAACTCATGTCACCCTTTTAGCAGGCAAGCAGTTTAATCACTGTGCCACCATGGCTTCTGAGAAAGTAATAGATAAGAACATACTGGACACAATAGAAGAGGAGAGTAAATCTGTATCCCATCACATCTAATTTTAGCTGTTTCTCATTGGTCATGTTCGTGTTCTTTTCTCCTAAACTTTTCCCTCTGACATTTACAACACTGGATATATCTTTTTGCCTCATTTTGCCATCAAATAAGCTTCACTTGGGGAGCTGTAGGGAGTCTGCTAGAGCAATGTTATTCACTTGTCTGCTAGTCTAAGGGCTTGGCTTCTAATCTGCATCAGAGTAAAGTTGTACAAGAGACCTTGTTTCCCTAGTTGATCTAACCTCAAATGGGTACCAGGAAAGGTGTTTGAAAGATAAGGAGGCCTGCATGATGTCGACCACATCATCAAGTGGTCTATCAAATATCTCTAGCCCCATTTTTGTGATGGCCAATTTCCTAACATTGGCCTGCTGCATTTCTTTTACTTATAACTTTTTTTGGTATCTGAGCATGGCATTATGTTACTAGCTCTATCATCTGTTGCACACACAGAGCCCTGACTGTCTCAGAACTGACACAACAGATGTTTGTTTGATGCCAAGAACATGATGGCCGCCTGTGATCCCCATCAGGGGAGGTACCTAACTGTTGCTGCCATGTTCAGGGGCCCCATGTTCATGTAGGAAGTGGATGAACAGATGTTGAATGTCCAGAACAAGAACTCCTCTTATTTTGTTGAGTGGATTCCAAACAATGTGAAGACAGCAGTTTGTGACATTCCACCTCGTGGTTTGAAGGTTAGTCTTTTATTTATTACATAGATGTGTGCTTACCCAAGACGTACATGTCTCTAAGTACGACATCTTTTCTGCCATATGAGTAGATGTGCCAGTTTCAGTTTGTAAAGTCTATAAATGGGACATATCTTGTTTGAAATAATGACTGAATTTATAATAAATATCAAAGGCATTTTTTTAAATAAGTATAGAATTGTAGGTATCAGGTAACATAGATAACATTTGATGGAAGATGTATCACTGAGATAAACAACAGAATAGGACAAGCCAGGATTGCCCTTTACAAACTAAAGAACATTTTGTACAATGTTTTCGGAGCCGTGTTAGCACATTTAAAATGAGGCTCGCTTTCAAATCCAGCTGCAACCCCCTGCAGCCCACGGTCATTGTTCAAAATCGAGCTGTTCCCGGGGTTCACCCAGCCTCTAGGTAATGGGTTCCAGAGTTAACATTCTGGGGTAAATGGAGGAACGTCGCTGTAGCTATGGAGCTGCGTTTGTAAGGTGACACAGGCGGACAGTTTCTTATCAGCTGTCTGTACTGGTGGCAGAGCACTTATGGTTTATAACCGTGTGCAGTGACACTGGTTCACATCTCCCGACTTTACCTTTACCTTTGTACAATAAATCTATCTCATTGAAGGTTAGAAACAAATTCTGGCATGCTATGTAGAACCCGTTTTAACATATGTCTGTGAATCCTGGTCAATTAACAAATAAGCAGAACCATTTCTTGATACCCCGGAGAAAAATTCTTAGAATTCCTAGGACAGCTTAAAAAAAAAGGAACACCATTTGTTTTGAAAGAGGTGAGAGCTCAAAGAAAATGTATCACAAACATAAAAAAGGCAGTCGCTATTTCTTTGTTTATGTTATGAGAAGAGGGATGCTGGAACATTTTGTGACCAGTGGAAAGATTTGTGTAAAGAGAGACAGAGGAAGACAGCTTGAGAAGATTCTTGATGGCCTATTGTCTTGACATGTAAAATGACATATATTAAATGTAATGTATGTAAATATTATATACCTTGTATCTTCTTCTCCTTCAGCATTCCAAGCCCTTGAGTTTCATTGCTGCAGATATCACCCACCTCCATTCATCTCTCTGGTTGGCCTTTTCTTTCCAGTTGGTAAAACCAAGTGTTTGCAGGTATGTCTGGACATTATCTCTCCATCGTCTTCTTGGTCTCCCTCGTGGTCTACGACCATTCATCTCCCTGGTATATAGATTTTACTTCTCTGTCATCTGACATTCTTTCAGTCTATTATATACAGTTCCTGTATATAATGCCTGTAACTATAACATACCTTGTATACAATATTATAGCATTTTATTTAAAAATTATACATGTCTTGCATATGAAAGCCATCTTCATCATCAGCCTCCACTGTTGATAGCATTACTTCTCACTCAGTTTAGAATGGTTGGGCTGCCAGCTTTCCTCCTTTATCTCATCAGTGAGGATTCTTGGAAAAGCTGGCAGCTTAGTGTAGGTTTATTATGTTATTGATATATCATCTGTTTCTTGGTGGTCATATTTATATTGGATGAAAACAATCTTGGGGGAACATGTTCAAGGCAGGTGAACAAGATGGAGACAATGACCCAAGTTACAAGATAAGCTGGAAGAATAGCAGCAATCTTTGAGAGAGTGTAGAGCTATGGTTAGAGATAAGAGTATGTTGATGATAATTACATTTATTCTTCAGATTTTACTGACTGAATCACTGATTTATTTTTGTCAGTATTACCAAATACAATATCTAGTCTCACCATGAACAGCTGGGGTCACTAAAAGAAAGGAAAGGGTAGTCAAAAAGATGAATGAAGCCAGGTTATTTCTGCAACAATGAACTTGAAGGGGCTGAGAATGATGAAGAAGTAGTAGTATTTTGATTGACTTTGTGTTGTCAAAATATTTTTATATTTCTTAATATTTTCTTTTCAGATGAGTTCTTCTTTCATTGGGAACATCACAGCAATCAAAGAATTGTTTAAAAGAGTGTCTGATCAGTTTGCAGCCATGTTCCGTCACAAGGCCTTCTTGCAATGGTACACATTGGAGGGCATGGATGAAATGGAGCTCACAGAAGCTAAATCCAATCCAACATGAACAACCTTGTTTCTGAATATCAACAATATCAAGATGCAACAGCTGAAGAGGAGGGAGAATTTGAGGAGGAGGGAGAGGAAAAGGTTTAAACTGATATTATGAATATCACTGCAAGGTAAACCTTCTGTTAGGACCAGTCCTGCATGGTTTTGGAGCATTAAAAGCACTGATGAGCTTGAATATACCACACATGATATCAACAGTGTTGTATATTCAAGCATGTCAGCACTTTTAATGCTCCAAACACATGCAGGACTAGCCCTAACACAAACCCCACTACGAGAATGCTGCAATATAGGTCACACACATTCTCTTTCTCAGACTGAAAATGTACTTGGAAGACAGCGCAGTAAGCTTTTTCAAGCAAGCAATACACCAGGTCACCCCTATAACATTCAGCAAAGTTAATGAGCCTAACGAACTGAATGAAAAGTGACCTAGTATGTAAATGGCTAAAGCTAACTGACCTTTGGAGCTCTCCATAATGTCTACCCACTATAAATATTAGTTTTCTACATGAGAAATGATATTTGAATAAACATAAAACATGTTTTTTTTTGTTACAGTATCTTACCTTTCTGTGGTTTGACAGTTCAGAAGAGTTAACAGATCCTCACTGCATATTTAATCATTCGGTGCATAAGCATATCCTTGAACACATCAGCTCTGTGCTTGTGTGTATATTCTTTGGCTTCTAGCATTGTGTTTTTCTCAGGTATCATCATGTTTTATTGATTGTTTAATTGTTGTTACAGTTTTGTTGTAGTTGCTGGTTCACAGTCATCACTTGATTCACAGAAATGACTTTTCCTGTAGTATTCAGTATACCAGCCTAGTTCATAAATTGTACCCTCTACTGTAGTCCTGCTTACAAACCTATCAGTTGTTTGGTTTTTTTCTTCCCTCTGGGACTGGAGTCTTTAGGATTGACATCTCAAGGATAGCAATAAAACAGGTACACATCCCGGACACCTATCACAACCATAAACAGCCATACGGAACACTTTTATCAGGGCACCACAAACTTTTGTTGGGGCACCACAAAACTTTTACAGGGCCACCACAAACTTTTATTGGGGCACCACAAACTTTTATTGGGGCACCACAAACTTTTATTGGGGCACCACAAACTTTTATTGGGGTACCACAAACTTTTATTGGGGCACCACAAACTTTTATTGGGGTACCACAAACTTTTATTGGGGCACCACAAACTTTTATTGGGGTACCACAAACTTTTATTGGGGTACCACAAACTTTTATTGGGGTACCACAAACTTTTATTGGGGCACCACAATCTTTTATTGGGGTACCACAAACTTTTATTGGGGCACCACAAACTTTTATTGGGGTACCACAAACTTTTATTGGGGCACCACAAACTTTTATTGGGGTACCACAAACTTTTATTGGGGTACCACAAACTTTTATTGGGGTACCACAAACTTTTATTGGGGCACCACAAACTTTTATTGGGGTACCAAAAAACTTTTATTAGGGCACCACAAACTTTTATTGGGGCACCACAAACTTTTATTGGGGCACCACAAAACAGAAGTAACCTACAATCGTGTGTGGGTGTTGAGCATCAGTCTTCAGTTTCTCTTACACCTGCTTGCCCAGGGACCAAATCTAGACTGATCTTTGTCAGTGGTGACAGCTTCAGAGACTGCAGCCACTCGGGAGAAGAAACCTTCTAACCATATTCATGACATTAACAATGTTGCCTGTTTGGGTCCTGTGGTTCCATTGGGGCTTTAAAACTGGACCCACTGCCACTTGACAAGCATGTCATAAAAGGTGACTAATTATAGCTTTGCTGAAATCATTTTTATTTTTGGGGTGGGGGGGGGGGGAGGTTAAAAATTTTGCAGCTTGGCTGTAACATCAACACAACATCCCAACAACCATTTTAATGACGAACTCAGAAAAAGAAAAAAAAAATGTTTAACTATTTTGTATTGTATGTTAGTAGCAACACCAATTTGTAGAGACTTGTTATCTTCATTACGTACCATGTTGATAAGCATTCAAAGTCATGGTTCATGGTTCTCATATGATTACCAAAGTATGCTCTGAAGTTCTGAGTGCTTGCTGCACTTAACGCCATGTGTTAGAGGCATCAAGTTATTTATCACTTTGTCTTACCTTTAGTTGTTTTCTATCAAGCTTGTCGGTTTTTAGATAAGCACACACAAAAATTGTGTTAAATAAAGCACATTTTGTAATTAGCATTGGCTGTCATTTTGTCTACATTAAATGTGTCTGGCTAGAAACTGATTAGCCCTGGCATGACTACACCACTGATAGTTAGCGTAGTGGTGCTAGACAACAGAACATGTTCTTTAGCATTGCTGTCAAGGAAGTTTTGTACAGCTAACAATTGTAAAATGTCATAATCCAGATAAATTGAAAGGAGTACTGGACTTGAACTATTTTGTTCTAAAGAGCTAAAATTTGAGAATAATTAGGATAATTATTAAATACAAACATTCATTGACTGATGCCTGCGTAGAACAAAGGTAATTAAATGGTATGTCGAACTTTGAGGGATAATTAAACAAATTCAAGTCAGTTAAGAGATGAAGAAAAGACATTTCCTACCATTTTAAAAACTGGCATGGGGTAGGACACAGGAGAAAATAGAACAAGAACAACATAACTAGAAGGGCTTTTCACAGCCCACGGGGGCATAGAAAAGAAGGCAGACCAAAACACACCTGAAGAAAGGACATGGACAGTGAGATTAAAAAGAGGCTGATGAAATGAGGTCAGCTGCATGCAAAAAAGAGGCTGGATGAGGGTCTAAATGGGGGATTACAGACAGAATGCAAGACAATAGAAGATGGGATAGAGTAAATTGTCAAGTAAACTCAGAAAGAGACTGTGTTAACTAACTATATACAAGCCATCCCAATATGGCGACTGGGTGATCCTCATCCGAATGGTGGCTTTTTGTGTCACTAGTTGTTTTTTGCTGTCCTGGTCAGGTTGAACTTCATCACCATTATCATGTATTAACTGAGAACAAAAAGCACCCCCAAAAAAAAACGAGAAAGCCCCCCTTTCCACCCCCGAAAAACCCACTGGATTATTAGCATAACGTTCGACTAATCAGACTGCTACTTGTACCATGGGGCTGAGCAGTCTACGATTGCTGTTGAACATAACGACGGAGCGCTTACTGAAACGTTTCGAAAGCTCTGAGATATCGGTTCTTATCTCAACCCAGTAAAGCGAGATCGCCCGATGTTCTCACATTTCATCCAGTGATGTCGACAGATGTTGTCACCCATTTCTCTTCCAATGAAACCGACAGATGTTCCCACCCATGTCTCTTCCAGCAGAGTCGACAGATGTTCTCACCCATATCTCTTCAAGTAAAGTTGATGGTTGTTCTCACCCATGTCTCTTCAAGTAAACCTGACAGATGTTCTCACCCATTTCTCTTCCAGTGAAGTCGACAGATGTTCTCACCTATGTCTCTTCCAGTAGAGTCGACAGATATTCTTACCCATATCTCTTCAAGTAAAGTTGATGGTTGTTCTCACCCATGTCTCTTCAAGTAAAGCTGACAGATGTTCTCACCCATTTCTCTTCCAGTGAAGTCGACAGATGTTCTCACCTATGTCTCTTCCAGTAGAGTCGACAGATGTTCTCACCCATATCTCTTCAAGTAAAGTTGATAGTTATTCTCACCCATGTCTCTTCAAGTAAAGCTGACAGATGTTCTCACCCATTTCTCTTCCAGTGAAGTCGACAGATGTTCTCACCTATGTCTCTTCCAGTAGAGTCGACAGATGTTCTCACCCATATCTCTTCAAGTAAAGTTGATAGTTATTCTCACCCATGTCTCTTCAAGTAAAGCCGACAGATGTTCTCACCCATTTCTCTTTTAGTGAAGTCGACAGATGTTCTCACCTATGTCTCTTCCAGTAGAGTCGACATACGTTCTCACCCATATCTCTTCAAGTAAAGTTGATGGTTGTTCTCACCCATGTCTCTTCAAGTAAAGCCGACAGATGTTCTCACCCATTTCTCTTCCAGTGAAGTCGACAGATGTTCTCACCTATATCTCTTTCTGTGAAGTCGACAAATGTTCTCACCTATATCTCTTCATGTGAAGTCGACAGATGTTCTCAACCATGTCTCTTCCTGTGAAGTCGACAGATGTTCTCACCCATGTCTCTTCCTGTGAAGTCGACAGATGTTCTCACCCATGTCTCTTCCTGTGAAGTCGACAGATGTTCTCACCCTTATCTCTTCCTGTAAAGTCGACAGATGTTCTCACCCATATCTCTTCCTGTGAAGTGGACAGATGTTCTCACCCATATCTCTTCCTGTGATGTCGACAGATGTTCTCACCTATGTCTCTTCAAGTAAAGCCGACAGATGTTCTCACCCATGTCTCTTCCAGTGATGTCGACTGATGTTCTCACCCATATCTCTTCCTGTGAAGTCGACAGATGTTCTCATCCATGTCTCTTCAAGTAAAGCCGACAGATGTTCTCACCAATGTCTCTTCCAGTAGAGTCGACAGATATTCTCACTCATGTCTCTTCCAGTGATGTCGACAGATGTTCTCACCCATATCTCTTCCAGTGATGTCGACATATGTTCTCACCCATGTCACTTCCAGTAAAGTCGACAGATGTTCTCACCCATGTCTTTTCCAGTAGAGTCGACAGATGTTCTCACCCATGTCACTTCCAGTAAAGCCGACAGATGTTCTCACCCATGTCTCTTCCAGTAGAGTCGACAGATTTTCTCACCCATGTCTCTTCCAGTGATGTCGACATATGTTCTCACCCATGTCTCTTCCAGGAGAGTCGACAGATGTTCTCACCCATGTCACTTCAAGTAAAGCCGACAGATGTTCCCACCCATGTCTCTTCCAGTGATGTCGACAGATGTTCTCACCCATGTCTCTTCCAGTGATGTCGACAGATGTTCTCACCCATGTCTCTTCCAGTAGAGTCGACAGATGTTCTCACCCATGT